CCGCAGCATTATAATTATAATTTAGTTTCACCATTTGAAAAGGATGTGAACGTTTTCCTTCTACTAGAAAAATCAGGGTACAAAAATCCATTAAGTTCAATTGAAGATGACTATATTTATACTCCATCTTCCTCCCAAAAACTAAGAGGGACTATGTAGAAAATCAAATCTAAAGAGAAAATGGTCCTTTGGAGCAGGGGTCCCCAACCCCCAGTCCGTGGACTGGCACCAGTCTGTGCAAACAAGCAGCATGCAAAACTGGTCTGCGGTCCGCGGAAAAACGTCTCTGTGGAACTGGACCCTGGTCCCCAAAAGGTTGGTGGTTACTGCTTTGGAGCAAACATAGCACCAGCCCTCAATTCCTGAACCCAAATATGCTTTTTTCCCAGGACTGAGCTGCAATTGAAGAGAACAGCCATTTGGTACTGGGAAAAGACACAGCTGTTTCAAAGAGTTACTAATAGGTGCTTCACTAGCACATGTTCTGAAACACTTTTTCTCTTCAAATGGGATACCTGCGTGGTCTTAACACAAAAGCCGATCCCCAACACAAATAAGCCCATGAGCTACAGTGATGTGGAGATATTGTTGAAGAAAAAAATCTTCAGAATCAAATTGTTCACTATTACATTGAGAGGTTTAAAAAGAAGTGTTCACTGTTGATAGCTACACTGTTTAGGCTGCAGATGAATGCTGCTTATTGATTTAATCCCAAGATCTCAGTCAGAAATCAGAAGATAAGTAGCAGGCAAAATATAATAGCAGAATTGAAGCAATTATTTCATAGCTTGGAATTTTCCATATTAGGATTGACAAAGAATTATATGTGGTGCTACCACTGAAGACATTTGCCAATTAAATGATACAAAGGAACACAATTCAAGGAACTGGTATAAGGCTTTAAACTATCTCTGAGTTTAAATCTGTACAGTATGTATATGAAAATCTTTCTCAGATACTCTTCTTTAAATGCTACTATTTAAATGAGACAAGACACTATGAGAAAGAATATTTAGAATGACATATTTTATTTATACAATTCTGACTACAGAAAGGTTTAGTTGGTATATCCATTATTATTTTTTAAATTCAACAGAAATATTTTCTCAGGCTTTCAGGCTCTTATTAAATCCCCCCACCCACCCACCCACACACACATAACACGTTCAGATTATTTAGCTCATGTACTAAAAGTTGCTAAGAAGCCTAGCAGATATGCAAGGAACACCCTCTGAGCATAACTCATCATCAATGGACACAAACACTCTCTACCTGATAACGAGATTTAAAAGTCAAGTGGAAATGAATCTAGATACTCCTCCACATCCAGAAATTCTTGCAACTGAAGTGCCAACACATATTCTGGTACCATTCTAAGAATTCCACATATACTTTAATAAATTTTGTTCACTACTATGCTTATCCCAATGTAGTCCAACCTACATGATTTTAAAATGACAAGAGACAATTATATTTGTAGTGTGCCTCATTTCTTCAAGGATCTTTCCATATCATATCCCCAGACAGTACTCTCCCCCCCTCTCTCCTTACACACNTATAAAATATTTAGATTTTTATATTGTATAATCATTAGTGTATTTTTGTGGTTGCAATTTCTGGTTCTAACTTATCTATAAAAAACGTACTAAGAGAGATGTGGGGGATTCTGTATTTAGCAATGAAGAAATATATTTAAAATTAAAACAGCACAAATGAACTGCAATATATTTTTACTTTCAAAGCACTTGTGGTCCTTTCCTGGAAGCTGAGCATTTGAAGCTTTTGGTAACTCTAATTTTAAATCTAGAAAATATGTTTGAAGAACAGTAAGTAAAATCTTCATGGAAAAGCAGATATAAAACTAGTTTGCTAAGATGAATGAAGTTCAGATCTAATACATGCCTAACAATTGTGTATTTTCAGAAATAGAAAAATGATGTGAGTGACTTGTGTAATAAAATCTTCACTCTCTTCTATAAATAAAATGTTCCTTCTTCAGTTTTCACTGGAACAAGTATCTATGCCAGCAGCTAAAATTTTAAGGCAACTTGTATAACTTGCATTGTGATCATAGCTTTAATAAGAGAGTTAATAATATTCATGACACATTGATGCCACAGCACCTTTAAGCCTAAGATTAATTATAGCATTTTTCTACAAACTCTAAAAAGTCTGTTGTAAAGTATATAGAGAAGAATGCAGGATGAACAAATCATATAATTAACAGAAACATTCAAAAATTCTGTCAGTTTAAGTGTATCCCACACTGAAATAAAAACTGGATTACATTAGAACTTTTTGTTGGTTAAAGTAACAACAAAAATATCTCTTGTTACACTATCACAGAACTCCATTTTAGTAAAAGTATTACATGCAATTTTGTAAAGCAAGAGTAAATTAACATTTCAGTAATGAGGCTATTCTAGTCGGTAGGGTGCAGGTACCATGCAACACATGCACATTGCCTATGCTACCATGTCTCCCAGTGAGTATGAACAAGATTGCAGTCACTGAGTGGAGCTGAAGATTTGGCAAGATTTGGTACCCTGCTTGAACAAGAATGAATGAATGAATGAATGAATGAATGAAGGAAGGAAGGAAGGAAGGAAGGAAGGAAGGAAGGAAGGAAGGAAGGAAATCTATAGTTTCTTTCCAATGACCCACTGTAGATAGCTGGCTTCCTATACTCATTTTCACAAGGAAATAATTATAGGGAAATAGCAGTTTCCAGTTAGTCAGTTGATCACTTTCTAGTTCCATAAGTTGCATTTTCAATAACCAAGGCCCACACTTGGACTACCATTTGATTGTCCCAGTATAAGAAGTAAACAAACTGATTTAGAACAAATATCTCACTATAATTTCAAACAATTTTTGTAAAGTCAGATATTAATCATTTAATTCTTTGACATTGATACAGTTCATAAATATTAGCAATATACAGAACACTTTGAAATAGAGAGTCAGGAAAACTGAACAGCAAAATACAGGTAATCCCTGGGTTATGAGCATTCTCTTAGTAAATGTTCGAAGTTACGTGATAAGCGTCCACTAGCGTTTAGAAACAAGTCATGAAACTACCAATGTTGCAGCACCATGGCAGTTTTTCACTCCTACGAAAGACTGCAGATGCTCTGCAACATTTGCCCTGCCTATTTCCCACCCCCTCCTCCATTGGGTCTCCGTAGGCATTAGGCCTGTGCATATTTTCCTTGCAAAGATCTAGAGAGCCTTTGCTTCCATGGCCTGTTTTGATGCTTCAGGCTTTCAGTATGTACGCAGAGAATGGAGTTCTGAAGTACCACAAGAACTCATGCTATTGATCTCGTGTGATCTCACAGTACTTTAGGCCTCTGAAGCCTGAATGAGAGCTGTAGCAAAAGGCTTTGCAAATGGAAGGAAGGCTTGAAACATCAAAGCTTTCCCTTTCATCTTTGCAAAAAGCCTTTGCTGCCGAGAATGGAGCCCCTGGAAAGAGCGTGCACCACTCTGGGGCTCTGTTTTTGCAGGAAAGGCCTCTCAAGGCTTCTGCTAAAGAGAAGCTCTATTTCCAAGTGCCCCATTTCCATGCAGATGAAGTTTCCAGTCTCCGTTAGGGTGACAAATGTTTGACCCTAGGGCAGTTGGAAATGGAGCAATTTGTTCCATTTCCAACTGCCCCACGGCCACTCAAACACTTGCCACCCTGACAGAGACTGGAAACTTTGTCTGTATGGAAATGGAGCAAAAAGCTCTGTTTTCAAGCAACCTATTTCTATGCAGATGAAATTTGCAGTCTCTGTCAGGGCAACAAGTGTTTGAACCAAGACGAAGACTGGAAACCTCTGGGGTAGATGGTCATGTGCGAGTTCAAACACCAATCCGCTTTTGCAGAGAATGGGTGCCAGACGTCCCACGGGATCAGGGCACCCAGAAGGTTCCAGTCTGTGTGGGAAAAGTAGTTGCACACTAATGAGAGGCTTGGAGAAATGCAAGTTCGCTGCCCCAAAGCCTCACTTCATGTAAACACTTTTCTGCATGGAGCCTTGAAGTCTTTGGAGGAGACTCACTGAGGTTGTCCGCTTCTCCAAAAATGGTAGACAGGCTGAGAAGCCAATCAGGGTGTGCTCATCCTGCTCTTCCTCTGCTCTTGCCACTTGCAGGCAAAGAAATAGAGACGCTGGAGAGGAGACAGTTCTTCACAAGGTAAATGACCAGGAACAGCAGGTTGCAGGGGAAGAAGCAATTGTGAGGAGCATGAGGTATTTCAGTGGGTCAGGGGAAGCTTGGGTGGTCTGAAGCATGTGCCTGTTCCATCACTAGGACCCTTCGTGGTTGTCCCCACCCAGAGATACCTCATTTGCACTTAACGAGCCTTGCATTGGATAAGCGAATGCGTGGGTGAAAGGGAGATTATGTTCAAAATAGGAGATTCACTCCCATGAATCCTCAGATTACGAATGGAATGGGCAAGCTCCATTACTTTTGTAATTCAAGGAGTAGCTGTATTTTCAGAAATTTGCAAGCCTTTCATTTTTAAAAGAGAAATCAACATTTTCAGGTGTCCATCCAATCTATTCAATTCTAACAGAACTTCTGATAAATAATTAAGTAAACATAACTCCTCAGAGTGCCAATTTTCAGAGGAATCCTGATTTTTATCTACTCAAGTTTACAAGGTCGTTTTTGGAACATACTTCCTATACACAAGGAGTCCCCAACCTCCTGGGCCGTGGCACACTACTGGGCCATGGCATGTTGGGAACCAGGTTGTGCAAGCAGCAGACAAATGTGCGCTGCTGGTGCAAATGGAGTTATGTGCCCATGGAACCATCTCCTCTCCTCATACACCGGTCCACCAAGGTTGGGGATCACTGTTATACACCACTTTCCAAGGCCCACCTATGAACATTTTAATGCATGAATACATTGCATAATATAATTATATGCTATACATATTAAAGACATTTCTAAAACCAGTGCATTAAAACTGCATAAGCAAGAATCATGAGCTGAAATACCTTATTAATATGCAACTGCTGCTGTTGAAATTGTTGTTTGTGTTTTTCCAAGAACTGTTGATGCTGTTGTTGGATCACCAATTGCTGGAGGGCCTGTGAATTCTGGGGAAGGGGAGAAGACTGGGTGCGCCCCAGAGGACGGTGCTGCCGTAGTTTGTGTATTGAGGGAGACAGTCTATCAGCACCCACAAGAGATTGTGCATGGAGAGGGAGTGTCCCGAGTCCTGAAAGATGCCAGTTAGAAGGTAATATGTAGAAAACCGGTGGAGAAGAAAAAAGAACAGAAGAGCAAGGAAAATCTTGTAAGTACCATAATTATTTCCATTATAGAAACATGATTTTTTTCATTTACTTGCTAACATTTGTATCCCAACCAGTTCCAGATTCCAAGTAGCTAATATGTTAAAAGTTATAAAATAAACATGCAAATATAAATATAATCATTACAATAAAAAACAAGAAATGATGAAAATATTCAAATATTAAAAACAATCCACAATGCCATTCTTAATCTCTAATTGGCTCTTTAAAAATCAGACCTTGTGGTTGTAAAAATGAATCATGATCACCTGGCAGGAGAAGAAATTTATAATAGATACATTAGAAAAGGCACATGAGTTCTTTGCACATCACTTCACAGTTGAAGAAGAACAAAAGAGGGAGGAGGTAGAAAGTAGAAGCCCAGAAGAGAATAAGGAGATAGAACAGGGAGAAGGAAACAGGAAAGAGAACAAATAGAACAAGCGGGTACAAAAACAAAAATACAAATAGAGACAAGGACTACGAGAAAACTGAGAACTGTATATAAATAATGAAATGGAGGAAGAAATTAAGATGCTTTCAATGAACATAAATGGACTAAACTCATCCGTGAAAAGAAAACAAACCCTGATAAAACTACAAAGTACACATCAAGAAACAGTACAGTAAACTACTAGAAAATTAAAAAATAGGGAAATTGTATGTAGCACTAACACAACAAAAGAAAAGAGGAATTGCAATATATATCAAAGAATGGTTAAAAACCAAATAATTATATGCAGACAAGGAGGGAAGAATTTTAATGATGGAGAGAGAAACAAAAAAAACAAATACTTCTCAAGGCAATATATGCACCAAACAAAACCCAAAAAGAATTCTACAGAACTAAGTACATAAGAAATAACAAAAACAGAATATGAAAATATATGCTTAATAGGCGAATTCAATGCAATAACAGATATTAAAAAAACCTATAAAAGTGATAAAAGAAATAAGAAGAGAAAAAGAATATTACCAACCACATTCTTCGAGATGGTGCAGGAACTGAGTTTACAAGACACATGGAGGGAAATAAATACAGAAAACAAACAATACACTTTCTACTCAAACCCACATACAGTAAACCATGGTCAAGGATAGATATGGCTTGGATGAAACCGAAACTAAGGAGAGATACAGAAGAGAAAGATATAATGACTAACACATGGGCAGACTACAACCCAATAAAAGTGACATGGAAAGGACAGAAGAAGAGGAGGAGATGGATAATGAACCAAAATATACTGAAAAACAAACATATAAAAATGATGGAAAAGACTGTTGGTCTTACCTGAACAGTAGTTCTCTGTGTGCTGCGGGAGACTCCATGCATGGTTAAATTCTGTCCTTCTGTCCTGAGTCTGAGTTAAAATTGTTTGGCCACACCTCCTTGCCTCAACTGGAGCCAGTTTTCTTGACAAAGGCATAGAACAAAGAATGGGGCGTTGGTTCTTACCTGATACGCCCCTTCTCGAGGCAGGTGGAGACAGCTGTCATGCATGGGTTAACTCAGTCAGTAACCAATAGAACTGAGTTTACCAAAGTGATGTCATCGCCTCAGAGGAGTGTCCTCCTGCTTTTGTGACGAAGGAGATAAGTAGACTGCTGTGTGTAAATCAACTGNAAATCTGAAAGCTTCCTGGGTTTTCCACCCAGTTGAAAGTTCAAGACCTTGCCCCCACACCCACATGTTCATCACATGGTCCAATTTTCCACTGCCATGCTGGCAATTCCACCCATCCACTTCCAGTCAGGTGCAAAGACAAAGGATGACCTTGGGCTTCTAAAAAGGAATGTTTTATTTTGACAACAACACATTCTACTCCTTACTACTCCCCCTCCCAATTCCCCACTAATGAAACAGCATAGTAAAATAAGAGAGAGTGTGGCAGGGGAATATGACTGCAGAATATGTCTTGGATTTGAATGCTATTTGGAACGCTGAAAGTAACCCGAATCTCTAAAATACTTCACAGCTACCCTGAATTTCAGGGTGCTGTCCAGGGTCCTGAGCCCCAGCACTAACCCGAAGCCAGGCAGTGTAAATACTTAGGGAAGATGGAGGAAGAGAAGAAACCCATGGAGAAATCAGCAGATGACAGATCGCCTATCTATGTCAACAGCATCTATGTGCCTTCCAAAGCTGTGGTGAAAGGCACGGAGGGAACGCCAGCTGGGAGCCAGGAGCAAAGATTCGGTTTCTAGGCATCACTTACAATTGGATCTAACTCTGCAAGATGAAGCCATGGAATTCACTTCCCCTAAGGAGTTGCTGTTGGAGCCACAGATGGGTGCGGGATCCCCTGGATTTGAATGGGCACACTTAGGAGTGACCCAAGATTATTTTTGGATGGCCATGGATCCACCTTGGAGGGGGAATCTTGAAGATTACAACTCTTGGGAGTAGCTAGAAAGTCAAGGGACTTATAAATCTCTTCCTATGAACAAAGCATTTTTATCAATGCTCTATTCATAGGAAGAATTGTTCTTACCAATTTCTGTAGAGAAACACACATTTCTGGAGGGTAAAAATATTTATATTTATTGAATATTCACTGTGGGGAATCTGTATTTTATTAACTTGGATCCAAACAGTCAGACATAACCTTTTTTTTAAAATCCCCTGCTCTGCTTATCTGCTTCACTGAGTAGAACATATTGGATTACAAAGAAAAGGATGCTGGAGTGGGTAGAGACTTTTTAGCAGCAGGCAATCTCTAGTCAAATTTATTTCTCAAAGGTTTGATAAACTCATAAAAGTCTGTGAAAAACATTCTGAAGAAAATAACTCTAAATATTTTAAATTCATAAAAAAATCTGTTTTCAAAGTAGCAAATTAGTTGGAAAACAATATGTACCCAGAAACAACACAGATTGTGGAAAATCAAAGTCCAGAGGAATGTGACTTTCCAATAGTAAAGTGGCTGGGAAGAAATAATAATCTAGAAATAACAGCGACGATTTCATATGTCTTTCTGAAGTTCAATCCTGTGTTTTCATATAATAGTAGAAATCTCTCTGGGTGGATAAGTGGCTGTTGTTCTGAGACATGGTCTGATTTCTTGTGAACTGATGGGTTATAATTTTGTTGCTGCGTAATGGGGTGCTTGTTTGTTCGTTTTGAATGCTACCTTCGGGATTGTGGTTGATGTTCTTTTGTTCTCAGCGATTGGTAGATGTCAACGTGGATCGATGTCAATGTGTCTGTTTATTGACATTGGTAGAAAGCCAATAATGTTAATCCTTTTAAGACACTTTTTGTTTTAAATGTCTTTGTTGTTTTTTTCTTTGTTTTTTAAAATATTTTGGTGTTTTGTATTTTAACTTTCCTTGAATAAACTAAATCTTATTATTAAGAGTACAGCTTCACTGCAGAAGGGAGGGGCATAAGAGAACCTCACGGATATCAGGGTATGAGATAACCATGACAGGGGAGATAATGATAGATCCCCATCCCATATGATTTTCTTGTTGCCATAACTTCAACAAGAAAATCATATCTGGGACTTCTAGTTTGGCGTTGCTGCAGAACAGTCATAGAGAGAGGGGCTCCATGAACCTAGACTGAACTCTCCTCATTGAGGGGGGGCTTGAAGGGCTAAAGTCACCTTGTATGGGTGACAAAGAAAGGAGGGACGCCTTGCAGATTGTGAAGAGTGGCAACTCTCCTGCTTGATCCGAGGCTTATTCTCCTATCCAACAATGAGGAAGGAGAGGCGGCCTCCAGGAAGCTGGGACAACCGAGAAAGAAATATGATGGAATGGTGTTTGAACAATGGACTGGAGCTGAGTGAGATGATCTTCAATTTCTTTACCCCCCCCAAAAAAAGAAACTCCTAAAAAATAATTCTCCAAAATGTTAAAAGTGGCGAATAAGTACTTAGAGGAAAATTATAGACTCAAAATAAAATGAAACTTAAGAGAAGACATAATTTTTAAAATGTAGAATGACTGGATTTGAATATCTTATTAGGAACATCTTGAAAAGGCATTTTAAAATGCTGGAAACATTGGGCTAATTATTGGGAAAAAGTGAAAGAAAATTATTTGAAGAAATCGGAATGCTGTCAAACGGGCCGTTTTTCACCAAAACGGGGGTGTTTTTGCCTTCTCCCACCCCCCCAAAAGCCCTCTGCAGACTTCATCAGGGCCAGGAGAAGGGAAAAGTGTCCCTGTTTTGGTGAAAAATGGGCAAAAACTGGGCAACTTTTCACCAAAACAGGGTGTTTTTGCCTTCCCCCGCCCCCCAGAAACACTCTGCAGGGGGAAGGGAAAAATGCCCCCATTTTGGTAAAAAACGGAAGTGTTTTTGCCTTATCTCAGCCCTGCTGAAGCCTACAGTGTGCTCCTGGGGGCTGAGGAAGACAAAAACTTTTTCTTACTTACCTCTTCAAAATCATGGTGATTCTTATACACTGGTGCGTCTTGTAGTCTGAAAAATATGGTAATCTTTAATACTGAGTCAAGTATTTTGCTGTATACTGTCTGATACCTATTTGTTTCATGACTAAGGAGGAAAAATTTCCGAGATTTTTCAAGATTGCTAAGTACAGTGGTTCACAAACAGAATTATTTTGAAATCAAAAAGCTGGTTAGGTGGCTGATGAAGACAAGGGAAAATATGGAAGGAGTAAACTGACTAATGGAGGGCTATAAAGAACTATAAATATTGCGTACCTTAAGGAATGACTCTGGGACTGAGTGAATGGTTTTAATACTGGCTTTTTGATGTCACAGACAAATACGAGCATAATGTTTTAAAATTAGTATGTAGAGGAAAGGACCAGAAGCCGAAAGATTATTGCATTATATAGTTTAAATAACATTATTAAGGTTACCATGGCTATTAACATTGAATAATATAATATTGAGTAACTAAATGATGAGGGATTACCGATATATACAAGGTGGAACAAATATTACA